TTCAGGCTTGTGGATGGGAACAAACTTATAACCTGGAAAAACTGGGCAACCAGGGCATTTCCCTGTTAATTAGCGAGGACTTTGCCGCTTTAGTGTTAAAAGTGGACAGTGTGACCGGTCATCCGCAGTGGAGTGGTAATACTCAGTGCTAAGACGTTTTGCTAATATATCAGTTTGGTCAGGATGCTCAAGGACTGCCAGGGGTCCCACATCTACTGGGAATCTTTGAAATGCTTCATAAACTATCCAAATATGTCCCCCTGTCATGCTTCATTAATGTAGAGGAACTCCATTAGCCTGGCATTCTTTGTGAAAGGGATTGATCACAGCCCTTAAAAGAATCCCACTATCAGAATGAATTTAATTTGTTTCCAATGCTTTTGTGGCTCTGTCTACATTTACTACAGGTTGAACCTCCCAAATCTAGGACTCTCTGGTCTGGCGAGGCCATGGATGTTAGAACATAAGAATGGCCGTACTGGTCAGACCAAAGGTCCATCTAGCCCAGTAGTCTGTCTGCCGACAGTGGCCAATGTCAGGTGCCCCAGAGGGGGTGGACTGAAGACGACGATCAAGCGATTTGTCTCGTGCCATCCTTCAGCCTGACAGAGGCCAGAAACACCATTTCTATTGCCTGGCTAATAGCCTTTTATGGGCCTAACCTCCATTAAATTTTCTAGTTTCTCTTTAGACTGTTATAGTCCTAGCCTTCACAGCCTCCTCTGGCAAGGAATTCCACAGGTTGACTATGCGCTGTGTGAAGAACTTTCTTTTGTTAGTTTTAAACCTGCTACCCATTAATTTCATTGGGTGTTCTCTAGTTCTTATATTATGGGAACTAATAAATAACTTTTCTTTATTCATCCACTCATGATTTTATATATCTCTCTCATATCCCCCCTCTGTCTCCTCTTTTCTAAACTGAAAAGTCCCAGTTGCTTTAACCTCACTTCATATGGGACCTGTTCCAAACCCCTAATCATTTTAGTTGCCCTTTTCTGAACCCTTTCCAAGGCCAAAATATCTCTTTTGAGGTGAGGAGATCACATCTGTACACAGTATTCAAGATGTGGGCGTACCATAGTTTCATACAGGGGCAGTAAGATATTCTGTCTTATTTTCTATCCCTTTCTTAATAATTATACATCCTATTTGCCTTTTTGACCGCTGCTGCAAGATGTTGCTGGACCAAAGAGAACATAGGGTCTGCAGAATCCTGTCTGGGCCAGCAGTGGCTGGTCAGGGGAACCCCAGCGTCAGGGGGCCAGATGGCATGGGGGAGCCTGTGCCCTGGCCAGGGAACTCCTGGCGCTAGTGGGGTCATGCAGGCAGTGGGGCCACCGGCTGGAGAACCCTGGAGACCTCCCTCCAGCGGGGCTGCTGGCAGCCAGGTGGCCTGGCGCTGGGGAACCCCTGAGGCAGGGGGATGGGCAGGGAGCCTCAGCTGGGCCATCTTTAGTAGGGCGTGGAGCCCCAGCCTTCTGAGCCCCAAAGACGAGTTGGCAGTTAGGGGAGCACTGACCTCCCCCTGGTTCAGCAAACTTCCTGGTCTGGGACCGCTCTGGTCTCAAGGGTGCCAGTCCCTGGAGGTCCAACCTGTACAACAGAAGATTTTATTTAAAATATAGTGGGCACCACAGATTTCATAAAACAAAGCCCTTATCTTCTGTGGACTCTGTAACCAAAAAAGTTCATATGCTATGGGACTGTCCAACAGTTAGGCAGCTGTGGGAAGAGGTGGACATGAGTTACAGTAGGGCTCTGCTTCAGCAGCCAAACCTCAGCTGAAAATTAGCTCCTAGGTTATTTACTTGGTAAGCTCAGTTTAACTCCACCACAAAGACTGTGGTGTTTGTGGGCTGCAGGGATCATGGAGTGCATAATTTTTTAAAAATGGAAAAATAGACATGTGCCCAGAATGGCCATAGTGTTCAGACCTGTCTGAGTTAGCAACCCACTATTCTCTTTGGCTGTTAAGACAACTATTTAAATTTGAAGAAACGTGGAAATAGGCTCCAAATACATCTGGATAAGCGGTGAAATGATACAAAGAATGACAGAACTCCATTCTATATAACCTCTTCTTTTTTCCCTTCCTGCACTCCCCTTCCTATTCATATGTCTTCTGTTTTATTACTGCTTCTACATAGACTTAACATGGTGGGGTGTGGGTATTGGCTGTTCTTGCAGTTTTGACAAGTGGTAAAATCCGCACATACAAACAAAAGCTCACTTGCAGCCTCAGGGAGCAGGCACGAGGCACAGGTGGTGACAAGCAGCAGAAGTGTTGGCCGGAGGACTCCAGAGGAGCAGGGAATGGTTGTGCAGCCAGTGGCTAGAGAAAAGTGGTGCTTTGAAGGGGTCACTGCTGCTTCTTTGCAGCCAACGGCTATGTGGCTCCTCTCCCCCTCTAGGGGTTGGTGGGGGGAGAGAAATGGGGCTGGTTGTAGGAGCTGGCACAAAGATTGTGGGGGTGGTGTCGGGGATGCCTGGAAGTCCCCTTCAGATTGTCCACCTACTTCCTCATCCTCCTGTAAATAAACCTGCCTTTCCTCTAGTACCAGCAATCAAGGTGAAATGAAAAACTACGTCCACTATTTTTCATTGCAAGTATAAAGTATTTCAGCAACATTATGGGTTAAACAGGCTTTTGTGGGCTAGCCTGGGAACCTCGCTACCATTTATAATGTGGTTTGCAATAAGGAAGTAAATGGTTACTGGGTTAACTGGTAGGGGCTGGAGCAGCTCCCCGTACACCCCATGGGGCCTGCTGCAGGAAGGGGGTGCTCTTACTGGCCAGAGCAGCCCCATCTGTGGTGGGCCTGTCTCCCTTGCTGCAGGTTACAGGCCGGCTCCCTGGGTACCGACTTTGAGCCCATAACAAAGCCTCTGGCCACACGGCTGGTGAGGCTTCACTGCAGGCTCTGCAGTATAAAGCCTGGGGTGAACCAGTGCTTGCCGTTCCAGGGCCAGAGGGAGAGGGCTCTCAGAGACTTGCCATAGGCTGCATGAAATTAAGCAGGGGGCCAGATCTGGCCTCTGAGCCAGAGATTCTCCCATCTGTGAGCTGTAAGATTTTTATTTTATTTTTTTGGTCAGGGTACACAGGATAGCCTGATGGTTTTCCTCCCTGCCACCACTGTGTGTAATAGCAAAAGTAGCTTCTAAATCAGGGGTGAGCAAACTACAGCCTGCACACTGCATCTGGCCTGTCGGACCCCTACCAGGATGTGTGGTCAGGGCTTGCCTGGCTCCACCTGCACCATGGTTTGAGGCAGCTCCCAGAACCAGTTGCATGTTCTTCCTCCAGTCACTATGCATAGGGACAGCCTGGGGGCTCTGCACTTGCCCTTGCCCCAAGACCCAGCTCTGCAGCTCCCATAATCCAGGAACTGCAGACAGTAGAACCTGCCTAGTGGTGCCTGCAGACGAGGCACCTGTGCGTAGGAGTGCCTGGCTGCACCTGAGCATAGAAGCCAGAGTGGGGACATTTGCTACTGGGAGTTGCTTGAGGCAAGCACTGGCTGGAGCCTGCACCCCTCCCCCCCACCAAGCTGCCTCGGCCCTGATTCTCCACCAGACCCTTTGACCACAGCCAGGAGCACACCCATGCACACAAACTCCTGCCCCAGCCTTGATCCCTCTCCCACCCTCCTAACCCCTTGGTCCCAGCCTGGAGCACACTACTGCACCCCAAACCCTTCATCCTGGGCCCTACCTCAGCCCTTCCTACAAACCAACCCCCAATTTCGTGAGCATTCATGACTTTCCATAACAAGATGCGGCCCTCAAGCCAAATCATTTGCCGGTCCCCTGTTCAAAATGATACCTTCCCACTCTACCTCTGCTGTAATGATCAGTTTATCTTGATTGTTTTAAGATATCAGACTTCTTCCAGGACAGAATTTTAACGAGTTAAAAGGATTTTTATTTTTTGAAGGCCTGGAAATCACATGTGAAATCAAATGTGACTCCCTAATTACTTCGTAGCTTACTTGGGGAGTACATGTGGAGAGCTAGAACACAAACTTAATTATTTTAAAAAAGAAAAATTAACAACCCCCCCAAAAAACCCATGGACTTATCACTCTTAAAAATGGTCTGGAGGTATTTCTACTTAAAACCTGGATTACATTAAGATTGCCACTCAAAAGGATTCAATCACAAACTGGTACAGCATGTTGACAAGTTCTCAAAAGGTGATGCTGTAAAGTAGTGTGGTCATAATTAGTATTTTCTGACAGGATTTAAAAATGGCTTTCACTGGTGCTATAGCCATTTTGATCCCTGGATGTGGACAAGGTAGGTAAGGCAGGAACTTTTCAGACCAACTTCTGTCAGTGGAAGGGACATGCTGGCATGCTTCAGAGCTCTTCCTCAGGGTCTTGGTGGTGGAAGGGACAAAAGCTGAACCTGTGAAAGATACTGCCTCACCTGTCTTGTATATGTCAGGATTTGAAAGGAAACTTCAGCCTCTCCTCAATTCTGTTAATGATTTTAGATCTTGAGAACGACTTTTGTTAGCCTGTTTCTCAAGGTCTGTCATTTTAGTGACTTATGGTTTCTATATCTTGATGTCATAAAGAAGCTGTTTCATAGTCATGAAAACCAAACATCTTTTTAAAAAATGCTTTGACTAAATCTAGTTTGGAGTTGGTGGTGAGGAAGAATGCTGAAATGATCCTTAACCCTTTTAATACTTGAAATTCAGCTTCATCCTCCTGTATCCGATGCTGCCTACAGGGCCATATAGCTAAGTTAATTCTGCTTTTGTTAATTCTGTCTTTTGAGATGGTGGTTGGGAAAGTGGATTTCCTTCAATGAGGAATCACTACATTTTGCAACTTGGTTTTGGGTGTAGCCAGCCTCACAACATATTTCAGTAACACACCGCGAACCTTCATAGCCTCACATACAACGGGATAGCACATATATTCCAACGGGATCTTAATGTTTAGCATATGAAGAATTACTAATGACACCTCCCAAGGCAGACACCTCACAAAACAAATGATTATGACTATGGTGAATATAGGCGTTCCAGGGTGCTGTTCTGAGGTACAAAATGTACCTCAAGTGTCCAGAAAGTTTTGGAATTCTTTTAGTAATGTGGTTAATTGGTTCCTGATGAGGGGTTCATTCTTATGAACTAGCTTGTCTTCGTTCCAAGCATGTGTCTGTGTGGATTGTCCATTCATTCATTGACAATCCCTGAATTGAAGATTGTCTACTTTGGATTTATGTATGGGTCTGGAGGAGAGTCCAGTCTTGGAACTGCAACTTCTCTCTCAGTAGATGGACATTTTGTAGCAGGCTAGCTGCCTGCTTGGGAGAAAGTTCGCTTGCTCTGTTTGAGCAGTTTCCACCTATTTCATTTCTTCCTGTCTCACTGAATGTGGCAGCTGCTTGTTCTCGTTTTCCTTGACATGTACTGTGTAGCAGAAAAATTGATGTTCCTTCCAGTAGTGAACACTTGGGATAAACACATGAAGCTTGTTTGGATGAAGTTTAATAAGGACAAATGCAAAGTACTCCACTTGGGAAGGAACAATAAGTTTTACACACATAGAATGGGAAGCGACTGTCTAGGAAGGAGTACTGCAGAAAGTGATCTAGGGGTCATAGTGAACCACAAGTTAAATGAGTCAACAGTGTGACTGTGGTTGCAAAAAAAGCAAACCTGATTCTGGGATGCATTAACAGGAGTTTTGTGAGCAAGACACAAGAAGTCATTCTTCTGTTCTACTGTGCACTGATTAGGCCTCAATTGGAGTATTGTCCAGTTCTAGGCACTACCTTTCAAGAAAATTGGAGACGGTCCAGAGAAAAGCAACAGAAATATTAAATGTTTAGAAAACATGAGCTATGAGCGAAAACAAAGATTTGTTCTTTAGTTTAGAAAAGAGAAGACCAAGAGGAGACATGATAGCCGTTTTCAAGTATCTAAAAGGGTGTCACAAGGAGGAGAGAGGAAAAATTGTTCTCCTTGGCCTCTGAGGACAGGACAAGAAGCAATGGGCTTAAATTGCAGCAAGGGAGGTTTAGGTTGGACATTAGAAAAAACTTCCCAACTGTCAGAGTGGTTAAACACTGGAATAAATTGCTTAGGGAGGCTGTAGAATCTCCATCACTGGAGATATTTAAGAGCAGGTTAGACAAACATCTATCAGGGATGGTCTAAACAGTGCTTGGTCCTGCCATGGGGGCCAGGGGACTGGACTTGATGACCTCTCGAGGTCCCTTTCAGTTCTAGTGTCCTATGATTCTAAATGCTTACTTTGGCTTATTCATATTAACTAACCATTAATGTGGCTTCTGCATAACTGGGGCTCAGATGTAATAACTTAACTAGGGATTTTAAACTGGGAATTGGGTATTTGTGTAACCCCTGACACTTTCAGCAGATACAGACATTTGTAGCATGGAGCAACAACCAGCTCCCAGTGTGTACAAGTTCCTGCCTGCTGCCCTGATACAGAGGCAGCCGTGCAGGGCAGCATCTGACTCCCTGGGAGCAGGTTGGAAGCCTGTGTGTAACAGTTTTATGGGTTTATTGGTTAAGTGTGTGAAGAGTTATCCTATTGCATCCCTGAACTTTCTTGCTTTTAAAAACACTTTGGTGGCTGTACAGAGACTTTGAATTAGGTTAGCTTTCTTTATACCAAATGCTTTACTGCCAGTAGGTATTGCCATAGCTAAAATCCCAAATTGAGTTTTTACATGACTGGGTCAGGAGAACAGGTGGAAATTGTTCCCAGCTGACTCTATGCCTACCTGATTTAGTATCTGCTCCTGCCACTGGCTAGGAAGGAAGTGGTGGGGTTTTTTTCCCCAAAGACACTACATGGTATGTGATAGACTGCTTAGATCATCCTTTGTATCCTGACCATGTAAGTAAGCTTTCTTCAGTGTAGACATTTAAACTGTTTAAAATATCGAAAGAGAAAATTTAAGTACAATATTAACTAGTGAAAAAATGATGTTACTTTTAGCATGCAGTCTTTGAAGTATAAAAAGTGGGTAACTATATGAAACCTTGAACTGGAGTGATAATTTCAGAGTATATTTATCATGTTATATTTCATGGTTTCCTTATACTTTCCAGTCTGTCTCTCTTCCTGTGTAGGCTCTTTTACCACTGTTTGCATAGAGCTGAACACATTGAGGTCCTGGTCCATGGATAGGGCTCCTAGGTGTAATAGTAATGCACATTTTTGTAACCCCTCATGCCAGTATAAATGTATGTCTTAATATCTGACCTGATCTCTAAGGAGGATGGGGAAATTGGATTGTTCACGGCATAGTACAAGTTGATTCTCTCTCTGGTCCAACATCCTTGATCCAGCAGGAAAACAGATGTTGCTAAAACAGAGAGCCCTGGGAGCGTGGCAGTTGGCTATTAGAGGGGTTGGAATTGACCTTGCCTGGTCTAGCAAAATCCCTTTTTTGGGACCTATCAGATCCTGAGGGTACTGGACCAAGGAGGTCCAACCCATATAGTAAAGGGGTTGTTACCCGGAGAGCTGGGGTAAACAATTGCTGTGCTGTGAGCTATGCAATTTAATTAAAGCCTAAGGTGCCCTCCCACAGAAGCCAGATTCGGCCTGGTATCCTGTATCTAATCACCAGGGAAACAGCTTAGAAATCACCAAACAACAAGAATTTAGGGCCAAACCATGTATTTTAAATGTAAGACTAAACATTAGCAAACAGCATACAACTCAGCAACAGTCCCACCCTAACCCTGGAAAAGAAGAAGATAGAAGAGTCCCACACACACAAGGGTATACATTACATTCAACGCGGCGATTGATGTTCGATGTCCGTGACCTTCAACCTCGCGGCTAGTGAAAAGCCTTAAGGGAGGACAAACGGAGCGATCCCTCGATGGATGCTTCTCGCCTCCTATGAGCTGACGCTTGGTGGGCACCGGATCCTGTCCGAGTATCTGTAAGCGAGACAGTGTTATAAGTCCCAAAGTCTTAGTGGGAGCGGAAAAGGCTTCCCTTACTCCAGTTAGTCACTAGCAGTGGGTAGTCTTGTCACACTGCAGGCTGGAACCTTGGCCTCCTCCGGGTAGACGATGACGCAGGGGAACAATGATGATCAGACACACTCACAGGATATGAAGGGGGGCCAAAGAACACGAATGCTCCTTGACAAGGGTATATAAACACCTCATGGAGGGAAAACCATGAAGAGAGCGGGGTGCAGAGAACTAGAGCTGGGTGCATAAGACTTGGGTGCCGTGTGCAAAGAATGGGTGCGCACGCAGACAATTGGGGCGGTGTGCATAGCCTTTGGTGCTGAGTGCACAGGTTTAGTGCTGGGTGCACAGCCTTCCCCTACCTGTTTTGGCGGGAAAACTGCTCTGAGGGAAAGAACCCCTCAGACTCCATTTTGTATTATGCCCAGGCAACAGGGTATAAAATTTAGCATTTGAATTTGGGCCCAGGTTGGTACCAATAATCTCTTAATCGGCAGCTTTCAAAGCATTCTAGTTTTTCTGTAACAGTTTGTCAATTTCTCAGTGGCTAGGTAGAAAGGTAATTAACAAGCTTGTTTGTGTTTACTGCAAACACCAAGAATTGGTACTTATATATACCAGTCTCCTTTTATTACCACTAGAGGTTCCTCCAGGTCATCCATTACTTATTTTGGCAGTATGAGAGAGCTTCTACTGGCTGAAATGTGGACATGACTTCGTTTCCAAAGCTGTCACTCCACCTTTTTACAAGCAGTGAATTACCCTCCAAGTACCTGTAACCCCTCTCTCTCTTGCGGTTATAAGGTATGATTGAAGCATCAATACCATTGTGATCCAGTCACTAATTTTGTTGTAGTACTTACAGCAGCGGTCTCCAACCTTTTTACACTCAAGATCACTGAGAACAGGGAGTCCCCTGCACCTGCCTCCTCCCAGGACTCCTCCCCTCTTCCCCTGTGGAGCAGGGAAGCCCCAGCGGGAGCCTCATCTGGGGCTGACGCCCCCCTCCCACAGAGAAGGGTGCACCTGGGCTGACCAACACAGCCAGCTATTATGCTGATTTAAAAGTACTGCGCAGGTGCGCAGTTTGGAGGGAGCCCAAGATCGACTGGTAGATCGTGATCTACTGGTTGGTGACCACGGACTTAGAGGCTTATGCCATCGATATGGATAGAAATATATTGTTTCTGATAGTTCACAATAAATTAAAGTTGGCAGTGGCTCTCCTTTTGAAACAGAGAGGTAAAATCAGATTAATTTAGGCAGTAGAATTGCCAGTGTCCTAAACTGCTGCATATAAATAATCCCTCCATATTTTGCATCTAGGATAATATACCAGTGGTTGGACTGGTACTTGTAGAAAATGTTCAGAATCTGTTTGGCAAAGACCAAGCAGATCTTGGGACCTACTGCAATATCAAAATAAAGTACTTTTGAACCAGAGTGCCCAGAGGGATGTATCAGCCCCATTGCCCTAGGTGAGATACAAACGTAAGATGCTGTCTTTGACCAAAAAGCTTTGTTTAATATTAAGATAAGATGTTAAGTGAGTTTAACAAAACTGCAGGAGGGAGAAGATGAAATAGCAATAATGAAACAACGTGGTTGCAACTATTACACAACTTTGATTCTGATTATTTTTCTACCTTTCCTTATTTTGAAACTTAGGGTTAACATCAGCTTATTCTCTATCTCTTGAATGTAGAATTTTCTTGAATTTTCATACTAGTTCAAATGCTTGTCCAGTTTTTCTGAGGCAGTTCTTGAGATGTAACTTCTATTGGACCTTACCAGTGCATGGAGCACAGCTGTTTGTTTCCATTGGGGGAAGCATTAGAGCTGTTTTCACTGGAGAAGAGAAGCATGGGCAAAAAGCAGTGGACTAGGTACAAGTGTATCTAGAAATCCTGACAGCATCTCACGAGTTACTAGTACTATCTGAGCTTTTCTGTTCAGTGTGGCTTGTGGTGTGTAGGAGTACAACATCGCAGACTCTTGCAGGAGCTCCAGGGCTATAAAGTCCCATCTTGCCACTGTTTTGTACCCACAGCAGATTTCTAGAGAATTCCCCTTTTTTCCTATAGCCCCTGTGGAGACTGGAGGAAAGCTTAGAGGCCTGGTGGGTACAAAAAGGACAATGTAATGCTAAAAAAGGTCTCTATCTCTGTCTCTCCAGACAACACACATTGTCAAGGTCTAGACACAACTAAGGCAGATTCTCTCCAACAGAAATCATTCTGTCTTCACTAGGAACTTCTTGGGAAACCTTCCTTTCTCTTTTTGCATTATCTGCTCCAGGGTCTTTAGGGTGTTCATTTACACACCCCCATGAGCCTACATCAGGTATGCCTCTCCTTGTGTGGGCTTGTTACAGCACTTCTGTTTCTGCTCTAAATCCTGTTGTCATTCTGATTTTGTGACTCTCCTGTGGTTTTACTTCTGTTTTCCTCCCACCTCTCACCAATCCTTTCACTGTTTTCGTTGGGAGACCCACCTTTTCCCCACTTCAACTTTTTGTGGGGGTTCCACAAGGCTTTGTGGGTCTATTCTCCTTATACGCCACATTTTTGGCATGTCCTTCCTTCATCAGTAGTCATTGTCTCTATGCTAGCAACTCGAAGATATGCCTTTCTGCTCTGGACCGGCTTCATTCTGTCCAAACTAAAATCTCCCTCACCTCTTCTCATGACTGCCCAGCCACTCACATAAGCAAAACCCAGCAAAAACAGATCTTCTCCAAACCTCCCTATTCTTCTGTCACTGCAGCCATTGCTTATGACCACTACTTAGGCATCCTCAGACTCATCTTTCTAGAAGACCTGCACATTCAGTTCATGTCTCAATCTTGCCACTTTTTCATGAATAGCCTCTTAAGAACTAGCCTTTCATCTTTGTCCAGACAGTTTAAATCTCTTATCCAGAGTCTCACCTTGACTACTGCAAATTATTTTTGCGTTGGAGCAGTGCCATCTTGGCCTGATTAGTTATCCAGAAAGTTCTTGCAAAGATGACTTTCTTTGCTTGTCACTTTGACTGTTACCCCCTCTGCTTCCCTTCACTGGCTTTCCCTTCTCTGCTGTATCAAACACAAATGACCTGTTCCACGTTCATAGCTTAGCCCAATGCAGCTATAAAGCTTTGTTGCGGAGCCAGTGACTCTACCTCTACTCCACCAACAATGCTGGTCTTCATTATCCACTTGTCCGACTCTTTTTTTCCTGAGTTCCTTCATGCTTTCCCCTTGCGGACCTATATTTCTAGAATGTGCACAAACACATTTTTCCTCTTTCAGATCCTTTAACTTCTGCTGTGATTGTATACGGTGTTTGACCATGATTAGGTCGCTGGTATGGCATTAACTGCTGCTTATTGCAAAGATCCTCACTATTACCATGTGCTTTCCCATCTGTGTTTACCTGTTGTCCCTTCTGGTACTTGCATTTGTAAGATATTGGTTGGAGACTGTTTAGGATCTCCCTGATCCGATAATTATCTGAATTGTGGCCCCCAGGTGCTACTGTAGTACAAATAATAAAGATCGGAGCAGGCTGCTTTCTCTTTTGTACTGCAGCAACAGAAGTCATTCACAGGCTTTCTGTAGAAGTTGCAGTTGAGACATCATGCATGAAATTTGCCTGTTCTAATACACTTGTTACACCTGGGAAGCCGTTAATTGGAAATCATAGTAGCAAGTCCTCACTGCTGCTGTCTTTCAGAGCTAAAAGACCACCTTGGTGTGTATTAATAATACTTAGCTCTTAGACTGCACACTCTAGATTCCATCAAAGCTTCAAATACAGCCCATCTCTATAATATCTGAATGCCTTCAGTTACTGTTATAGCCAAGAATGGACTAATTTACCTCCCTATGATGTCTGTCTTAATTTAATTATCTACCTGCTACCAACAGAAAAGATGCAGTGTTCAGGTAATTCTGAGCAGTTTCTTTTTTGAAAGTCACTCACTAGTGTGTCAGCTTTTTTTCCCATTTATCATATTTGTTATGATACAGCTTGCTTTGAACTAAGTCATCACCTATTTATGAATAAAGCTATGTCATTAATCTGGTTAGAACTATCCAGAACATCCTCTAATCATGCAGTGGGAAGAGGGAGGAGATGGGTAGATAATATGAACCTATTGCAAGTCAGAAGTGGAATCTGGCAAATGGGATCATTGTTCAGCTGTTCTTACAAAGCAAGTACTACCTGTCAAACTTCAAGATGTCTGTCTCCATCATGGAGACTTTTATATTTGTTTGGTCATAAATTTGAACAAACTGATCTAGCTGAAAAAGCAGATGCTTCTGGAAATGCCAGGTGCTCAGCACACTGTTCATTTACCATGAATACAGATTTTCATGAGTAGATAATTGTTGGCATGTCACTT